AGCTCAAAGAGATTAACTCATTTGCCCAGACTAGACCCTACTGCCAGTATGTATGTGGCAGAACTAGTATTCAAATTCAAATCTGTTTAAGTTTAGAGCTGTGGTTTTAATGACTGTTCTATAGTGACTCTTAACGGTCCAGACCCCTGAGTAGACAGAATTTATATTATACTATTGGATAATATTTATTCAAAAATACATTTGGGACACTAGAATGTAAACAATTAAGAATTTTTTATCAAAATGAACCTTTAATTCCCTAGTGAACTTACACATAATCAAGATGTCATGGATTGAATTGTGTCCCCAAAAAATATCTGTCAACTTGACTGGGCCATAATTCGCAGTATTGTGTGATTGTCCACCATTTTGTCATCTGATGTGATTTTCCTATGTGTTGTAAATGCTGTCTCTATGATGTTAATGAGGGAGGATTATCGGCAGTTACATAAATGAGGCAGGACTCTATCAGATTAGGTTGTGTTTTAAGCCAATCTCTTTTGAGATATAAAAGAGAGAAGCATAGAGACACGGAGACCTCATACCACCAAGAAGGCAGTGCTGGGAGCAGAGGACGTCCTTTGGACCCGAGGTTCCTGCACTGAGAAGCTCCTAGACCAGGGAAAGATTGATGACAAGGACCTTCCCCCAGAGCTGACAGAGAGAGAGAGAGGCTTCCCCTGTTGCTAGCCCCCTGAATACAGACTTCTAGCCTCCTAGACTGTGAGAGAATAAACCTCTGTTTGTTGAAGCCATCTGCTTGTGGTATTTCTGTTATAAAGCACTGGATAACTAAGACGCAAGGGATCAGATTGGAAAGAGGTCACAGAAATTAGTAAGTAGTTATGTGATAGACAAAGATGGACTCTGGCTCAAGAAACTTGCATGTTAAACTCTACCTGTGATTAGCTGGTAAACTTGCACAAAATAGTCTACCTCTGTGAGCTTGACTTGGCTGATCTGTAAAAAGGACCTAAGACTGCCTGTCTGCCCTCTGCAATACTATGACTGGAGTAAGAGCTAGGACTGATTGGATTGGAGTATAAGAGATGTCTGATACAATAGGGATTGCGGATTCTTCACCATCATGGGTGTTCTCTTGTGTGATTGTGTAAGGCTTTTAATGCTTATAAAATATTACCCATAATCCATTGCCATTGAGTCATTTCTGACTCATGGCAACCCCATGTGTGTCAGAGTAGAGCTGTGCTCCACAGGGCTTACAGAATCCACATTAAATAGAAGATAAATCTTGTTAACTTTTCAAATTATTAATGTAGGAAAAACGAAAGTTAAAAAATTCTTTTTAATTTCATTCTTTCTGATTTCAAAACTAAGCAAAAAACTTTTTGCTTCTACAGTTAGAAAATAGCTAAATTTTTAAAGTTTTTGACCTTTCCTTTGGATGTTAATTTATATGCTGTTTAATTGAGCTATAATCTGAATAGGAAGAACAGCTCTTTCTTTGCTTTTACACCTTCTTGAGTTCTTGTAAGAAAAATAAGTGAGAAGGGTGGGGTAATACTATCTTCATTGAGGCAGAACCTTTTTAAAGGAAAAGCACCTTTTTTCTCAGTTAAATTAGAGATAAGGAGACTAGGAAGAGTTGAGAGATGCTCTCTTGTAAGTATCCTGTTTTAATAAGCATACATGGGGTCTCCATGAGTTGGAATCGACTAGACAGCAACTGATTAAATAAGTACTAGTTTGTGCCTTGAGTCAGGAAGCACACAGTGAGTAAATCTACAGTGTATCTACAAGTTTTAGATCTTTCAGTTGACATTTGCCCCTTCTGTACCACATTCCAGGTGTTCTAAGTTTTGCTTAAATTTTCAGAGAAAAGAAAGGAGTTATTAGCAGCATCCTTTCCTTGTTCTTGCAGCGGCTATGTCAACATGTTACAACTTCCCATATTTCCCCGCTCCAGCTTCCCGCTAAGACAACAGTTTCCTCTCATTCTTAGAAAAATAGTTTTTCTTGGGAGGAAGGCTGGCTGTCCTATATCAAATGGTCTGTCTGATAGATTTCTTTTGTTCTCCTATACCAAAGTCTTCCACATTTTAATAGCACATTTTACATGTTTTAAAATTTCCGTTTAAATTCTTGCTTAAAATTAGCTTTGATAACTTTATGTGAATAATAAAGATGTTGCTGAGGCAATTGTTTATTTTCTTCTTACACAACGTCCTCTCTGTGAGGACCCTCAAGGGGAAAAATCTTTCTAGTGTTATTATCAGGAACATTTGTCTTCTCTGGAGTAGTTGCTTTCATCTTACGCCAGAGTTTTTACTTGTCTCAGTTACCACAACTCAGTTTTCTTAAAATTTGTCCATATATTTGTTTTCTACCTTGTTTTATCTATCATTACTGATTATTTTCTGAATATTAAGAACGGAAATGAACTCTCCTTGCAGCGTTGCCAAAGGATTTAATCATCTTTTTTCTGTCTGTTCTTGGCTATGGCAGATCATCATGGGACACTCTTCTCACACTGTGAGAGTTTTATCCAGAGTAACAGTTTAAGGTGAAAAAAATTCATTATGAAGTTGACTATGAATGTCTCCCTGGTTGAATTTTAAAAATATTTTTCAGTGAACTAAGTGTAGTAGGGCCTCAGCTTTCAAAAAGGTAGCATTTAAAGGTTTGGAAATTGGACTTTTGAAACACAAAATAGATTTTTCCATACAAACATTTTTCTAAATAGGGTTTATGAATTTAGGCTAGTCCACAAATGACTGGCTCATAATATAAAATGTATCAAGCCAAAGAAAATGACGGTTAAATGGACACGGTGGAAACTTATATTTCTTTTGCATGCTAGTACTTATAATAGAAAACCTATTGTAAGTGAGAGACTTGTAGAAGAATGGACATTCAGATACTTTCCAGAGCTTTCAAGATTAATGATACTACGTCTATCACGTCTAACTTAATTTTAAAAATACATTAAGTCCCCGGGTTACAAACGTCGGACTTAACGGACAACTCATACTTGCCATTTAATGTTAAGTAAATTTGCCCTCACTTCGCCCTCACTTCGAAACTGAACCAACCCCTACTCATAACAAATTCTTCATTACAATCACCTTCATTTGCTGCATGTGCAGCTTTTACATCATTAAAAAGCCTTCGAGCCTTTCCTTGCACTAAAGTGAGGCTAAGTAAGAACTATACGCACCTGTTCTGACTTCCTACAAATTCTTAAAGACACAGTTAGGAATGGATCTTGTTCGTAACCCGGGAAGTGCCTGTACCAAACAAAACAAGATGTTTCGTCAGATTTCTTCACGGTCATATTTGTATATTCTAGGAAAATAATGATTGAAATGCAGTCAATAACCGGATCTCCTTCTTTGTACGAGTTAGCATGTTAGCACTATTCTAAGTATACACGAAAAATAATACATTTACTACTTTTACCAAGCATCAGTAGTAACATATTACCACAAAAACAGTAAAATGTATGTTTAATACCATACCTGAATATGCCCATTCTAAAATTATGTAGTTTCTAAAGTATATACTGTAAATTAAAACTGCTCATATATATGCAGTTTCTACCCTATTAATAGGACTTTTGCATGATATGAGGAGCTCTGGTGGTGCAGTAGTTATTATAGTGCTTGGCAGTTCGAACCTACCAGCCACTCTGCAGGAGAAAGATGTAGCAGTCTGCCTTCATAAATATTTACAGCCTTGGTAACTCTATGGGCTGTTCTACTTTGTTCTGTAGGGTCGCTATGAGTCAGAATTGACTTGACGGCAATGGTTTTTTTTGCATGATACAAGTTGACCCTTAGCAGTCATTTAATGTGTTCCATTCTTGAAATATTGTACACTTGTTAGTATTTTGGTCTATTTTTATTACAAGAATATACTATTTTAGCCAAATTAGGAGTTTTATACCTTTCCAACCAGCCTATGGAGCTTATTAGCATTTTGGAAAAAAATATATGTCTGTATATACATAAACATACAGATATACATATATATGTGTGTGTGTATATATGTATATATTCCCTTATTTCTTCTCAACATATATGATGGTGGTAGATGGGGGAGGAAGGGAAGAAGTTTTATGATGAGAACTGAATATGAACCATTAAGACTATGTCTGTACACACTTTTTCCCCCCTTTCTCTCCTGTCTTCATTGCTTCTGAGGGATCTGAGGGTGAGAACCTTAGAGTGAGGTTCGTGAGTTAGAGTGAGGAACTGGGGAGCATGGGAGAAATCTGAACAAGTCAGTTAAGAATAAGTTTGTGTGTATGAATGGGATGGGGTAAGTTTGGGGGCAGCCAGATTCCTGTTCATTCCCACTTCCTTTAATTTGAGAAAATAACTATGTCAAAGTTGAGAACATGTGTCCTTATTATTAACACAGGTACCTTGTAAGTAGCAAGAACTTTCATTGGCCTGGAGAGTACTTTTACCTCATGTTACAGTTCTGCCCATGGTTGCTAGCTGGCAGCAACAGGGCAGGGCTCCTTAGGATGCTCCGAAGGGTGTTACTATAGATTGGATGTTTTTAAGTTTGGTATTTTAATTTATAAAATAGGGAGTGCTCATATATAAATATGAAATGGAAATGAAATATATGCTAGTGACCAATATCAGAAGGTTATATTAGGAAATATTGTGGACTTCAGTCTGTAATGTCCATATTCTGAATATAATAAACCTTTAACTTTATTCTAACAGTGTCATGTATTTAATGCTAAGAACTAAAACCAATATGAAGAAAAGTAATTGTATGTATATAAGTCATGACAATATAGTCATGACAGTATTATACAAGCCCAGCCCATTATCTATACTTATTACTTTAGCTGCACGTTTTAAACCAGCCAATTCTATACAGAGTTAAACTGTACTTTTGAGTGTATATTTTCTGATTTCCAAGGGATAATAAGATGTGTGGTTTCAAGTGCATTATAAAAGTTAAAATGATTTAGCAGTCAATTTGTTTTTATTTTAACTCTTTAATTGCTGTTTGTCTAGGGGATTGTGATCCTAGAAGAATGTCAGCTTCCAAAAGACATTTTGAAGAAACAAATACAATTTACAGACCAAGCAGCTTCATTAAACACTACAGGGAATCCACAGGTTCCACAAGACAGCCAAGATTCTTTACTAGAACAAGATTTTGAAATGTCACCTAGCAGCCCTACACTACTTCTTCGAAACATAGAAAAACAGGTAAAGTGAACTAAGTAGGATGTCAAGTGGCATGAAATGATTTCTAATCGATTTTATAAACTATTCAAGTAAACATTATTATACGTGTGCTGCCTGGTTTATGGTTATTAGAGTTGGAAGTTTGACACTAAATGCAATTAAAATAGTTGGTATATAACTGATATTGGTGTAATTTAGAGTATTTAAATATAATATGTAAAATCTGTTGCCGTCGACTCATAGTGACCCTGTAGGACAGAGTAGAACTGCCCCATAGGGTTTCCAAGGAGTGGCTGGTGTGTTCAGACTACTGACCTTTTGGTTAGCAGCTGTAGCTCTTAACCCCTGTGCCACCAGGGCTCCATAATATGTAAAGTATTAGTAAATAGCCACAAGGTGATAACTTATTTATACCAGGGTTGGAAAATTCCTTTTATAACACAGTTGTTCATTGTTAGATATTTTTCAGGGGGAAGGGATAGTGGCACTACTGTTAAATAAGACTGAATGATTATTTGGTCAATTATCAATAGAGATTTTTTATTGAAAGATAATATTGGAATATGGTCTTTTTCATAAAATCTGATCATGTAAACGGAAAGTCAAAGAAGCCCTTAACAAATTACTTTAATTCTAAAGTCTTCCCTGGTACTTAGATCTTATAGTGGATGACTCCAAAAGTTTAATTATTCTATCCTGTATCTCTCGCTTCTTTGAAATCAAACCTGTTATTTTGACTTAGATGTTGGTGTCTCTAAAACAAATCTAGCTTTCTAGGAGTTTGTTACCTTAGGACTAGACTAAACCTGCCAGAACATACCATCTTGACATTTGTTCCCCTGGGAAATGATACAGATTCATGCCTGCCCACGTGTAATTTTCCTGGGTTTTTCTAATATACCACTGAAATAATTTAGTACCAGGATACTGTCTTATTCCCTAAAATCCAGAATATGGTGTAACTCCTCCCACCCCATATTTGTTAAATTTATAATTGCTTATAGCGTTTTCCTGAATAGGAATGGATAATCGAAAGACTGTTATGAATAGTTTGTAATTCAGAAGGTTATTTTGTAATCAGTTGATGTGAAATTGGAATGCACTTTACCATAAAATCAGAGTTATAAATTAGTGTTAGTCTTACTTTCCTCTTTCTTCACCCTCCTCTCCATCCCAGAGAATCAATCGCTTTCAGTTTGACCTTAATTATTTGACATGGAGTTTGACTCCAGAATAACTTACTTGCTTGCTCTGTGAGATTTTCTACTTTTTCTGCCTGTAAGTCTCTACTTATTCATTAGCAAGTAATTTAATTAAATGAATTACTAGTACAGTACAATTCTAGGAGTATTTTCATTTTTAGAAGACATTTCTAATTTTCTCCTTAATACCTCCAATTTGTTTAGTGGACTTGGTCTAATGTCAGAACTGGCTTATTTGTGGGGCCTAGTGCAAAATGAAATTGTGGAGCCCATTGTTAAAAAATGATTAAGAATTTTAAGATGGTGACAGCAGAGCATCAAAACAAGCACGTGACTACACAGGTCTCATGCCCTTAATGCTGTCACTGGGTAGCATATTCATTTGTCAGTTCCCGTTGCTGACTAGAGTGTCAGAGGCTTTGGTAGGGAAGGGAACCAGGAGGTCTGAGAGCAATAGTAATGGTTCTAGACATACGGAGAGTAGAGGAAAGAGATGCAGGAAGGGGCAGCAGCAATCCCTTGTAGGTCATTGATAATTTGCCTACGAACAGGTCATTTACTCTTGAAATATATGCTAATAATGCTTATAATAGGCCAACTTTAAAAAATTAAGTTGTTGTTCAAATACTTGTTGAGAGAGAAAGTCTAGGAGTGAGTTAAGTGGCAAGGGTTGCAACTCTAATGTTATGCACATTTTTCTTCGATACTGGTATATAACTGACCACTGACTATAGGGGAACTTGAACTATATAGATCAGGTAATCCTTCGGCTTGATTACGTTAGTTTTGTTAGAGAAACATTTTGCTTACCAAACAAATATATTTCTGTATATCAGAAACAGCTAAAGAGTTAGCACTTGAAATATAAAGGCACAATAAATGCATACTTGTATTGTTAGATAATTTGTTCATAAATTGAATGGTAATTTATATAATTTTAAATGAATTTTACCAGTGATGTATTTGCATTAGAAAACTTACCGTGAATAACTGTTATGTGTTTTGACTTTTAAAATTAGTTTTTTGTTTTCAGAGTTAAAATTATTTCTTTCCTAATTTTTTTTTCTTATTCTCATTTTTATTGTGACTTTCCTATCTCAAGTATGGATTTAGTATATGATTTTTTTTTAGGCTGGATGAGGGGTTCCTGTTAGGGTCAAGCTAAGGGTTGTAATGCTTTTCTTCTGGGCCAATTAATTATTCATAGATACCTGACTATTGACCTCCAGAAGCTTAGAAGATTTCAGATGATATTTTTGGAGAAGGGACAGTAAGAAGAGTGTTTCAGTGTTTCAGGCTGGAAAATATGAGATACTGAATAAATTTAATTGCATGACTAAATTAATGAATACTTGCTAAATGGACTAAATCTATTTGATCTGTTTGTACTGCACATTTTTAAATGAGCTTTAATCTTAAAAAAAAAAATCTGAGTAATGATTTTTAAAATGAAGTCATTAGGTGCATATTATCTGCCGAGAAAACAAATGAAAACATTTCAGGGTCTTTCTCATGAAAGACTTTTAAAGGAGGCAAATATTTGGTTTAGTTTTATCATATTCTTTAATGTCATTTCTAATAGCATAGTATTAGTTTCATACAAATAAAGAGTTTCAAAATAATTATTTCATATACCTTATATTTTATAATAGAATAGTTTGCAGTCAATGAAAAAGATGAACTATACCTAGATTAAAAAAAAAAAAAAAGGCCACACTACATTAAGTAAGCAAAGCGGATTTTAGAAAATTGGTGTGTCATTTAATTTATAGTATGTGTGTGTGTGCATGTTGTATGTGCACTCATGCTTACATGCACTCAGAAAACTTACTCTGGAAGGGTGGATATATACCAAGATACTGGTTTTCTCTGTGAAGGGAGATTATGGGGGATTTTCTTTTCCTTTTTTAAACTTCTCCACATTTTCTAAAATAAGTATGGATTATATATATAATAGAAATAGTTGTCATTCTTTTGTAGAAATGTACTATTTTTATTTATGTGAGCTTTGTTATATGGTGGGTGAATATTTTGAGAATAATTCAATACTTACTACATATATTTAAGTTTGGGATAAGATTCAGTGAGAATCTTTGGTACCTAACATAACTGATATTTTTGAATTAGGAAAAATACTGAGGAAAAGTATGGCATTAGAGTCAACCTAAATTTGAATCCTAGCTCCATTTCTTATCAACTTTATTATCCTTGATCAAGCTACTTAATCTTTCTTTTGCTTCAGTTATTGATGTTAATACTAGCAATATCAATAGCTCTAATACTGTCTACTTTGCAGGTTAGTTATAAGGATTAGAAATAATGTATGGTTAGTGCCTAAAATAGTGGCCAGTACATATAGGTGCTTGATACATAGTAGGCATTTAATCAATTAAGCTGTTATTTGTTGTTATTAATTTGGCTGCCTCAAGGGAAATATTATGTAGCTGCTATTAGCTGAGTTCAAGTTTTTTAGAGGTAGAGAAAGGAACTGTAACAAAGGATATAGAAAAGGAGAGGCTATTTATAAACTTTTAAAATGTAGATTTACTTAAATAAAATCAGTAGTGGTACAAATCATCCTTGTAGATTAGAATATTTACTAAAATGTAAATTTAGTAAATGTAAAATGTAAACACCTACTAGTTTCATGAGAAGTTAAATATTTAATAGGTGTGATAGATCTGAGATTTAACTCACATTTCTTGCTTAGCTTTGGTAAAAGGTTAACTGTTTTCTTGCAGAGTGCACAGTTGACTGAGATCATCAACAGTTTGATTGCCCCACTCAACTTGTCCCCAACTTCATCACCCCTCTCCTCCAAACCCTGTAGCCATAAATGTCTGGCTAATGGCATTTCCAGGAGGTAGGTATCAATGAAATAGTTTTGCTTCTAACTTTGGCTTTGCTTACATTATTTTTATTTTGTTTTCATCTTTTATGTACGGTTGTTGTCGTTAGTTGCCATCGAGTCAGCTTTGACACTCATAGCAACCTTGTGTATAACAGAATGAAATGTTGCCTGGTCCTGTGCCTTTCTCACACTTTGAGTATTATGGCTACTATTTTTCTTCCACTTTAAGTACTATGTGAGTACAGTCAATAGACCACTGATACAATTTTGACTTACATCAAACTTACATGATTACCCAAACCAAACCCATTGTCGTCAAATCGATTCCAACACAGAGCCACCCTGTGAGGCAGTGTGGAACTTCCCATAGGGTTTCCGAGGCTGTAAATCTTTATGGAAGCAGTCTGCCACATCTTTCTTCTGTGGAGCAGCTGGTGGGTTTGAACTGCTCACCTTGCGATTAGCAGCCAAGCACTTAACCACTGTACCACCAGTTAACTGTAAATCTGGGGGTGAGGGTAAAAGCTTTCTAGGAAGCTTTATAATGTTTCCAAAAAAGAAAATCAGTGATACTATTTGGAACAGAAGTAGTGCCTTACTTACTTACGATACCTTCCGTTTTGTACCTTTTGTGTTCTTAAACTAAATGCTTCCCATGCAGTGCATTTTGAGGAAGAAATACCATACATATACTTCGAGCACAGAAGATTGGTAGATACTACCCATAAAATTCTCCTTAAGTTTTACTCAATCATTTTGTATATTAACTTTTATAAGATACTTTTTTTCTGAATATAATTAACATAATAATACCTACAGTCATTAGACACTTATCTTACATAGGTTATATCAGCAAAACTTTGTATTCTATGAATTCTGATCCTTTTTTGGGAACAGCGTTTGTTCTATTTTATCTTATTAACTGTTCTCTTTTAAATTTCCTTTTAAAGATGCAGTTAGGTGGCATACTAACAGAATACTTTGTATGTACATCATCTATTTATAATTTTTCAAATGAAATTATAATATGGGCTTCTTGCTTTAATTACATTAGAGGACTAAGTGTAATATATTATTGGGAAATAATTATATTACTGTATATAATTTTTAGTATAGCATAAAAGAAAAAATTTATACTGTGGTGAAAATTATGCTAAGTAGTCATCACATTCTAATTGAGATTAGTGGATATGAACCAAGTCTTGAAATAAAAATTATGTTATTCAATTTTTATTTCTGATAGATTATTTTGAAAGTCTAATTTTTAATACTTTCACAGTTTTATTTGTACCAGAACATTCATCTATTTTTCTATTTTGGGAACAATTCTTCTGTTGGTTTTGCTTTATGTTTTTGAAAATATATGCATTCCTTGTATGATTCAGTTTGAAAGTAAACATATGTTGTGTAGGGCAACTATATTCATTTATGAGAACATATCCTCAATTAGGAAAGTCATAGTATAGGTAAATTAATTATAAATTGTGTCATAAAACACCATTAGATTAGTACTTGAGCATTCTGATTTGGGACTAAAGCCATTTTAAATAATATTTTGTTTATCTAACCAGACACTGTTACACATATGCTTACATATATGTGTGTATATATAACATATATGTATATATATTCCTCTTAATGGACTTGCCTGTGTTTTTGGTCATTTATTCACAAAACATTGACAAAGCAACTATTTGCTATATGACATATAGTCAAAATCCTAGGGATACAAACATAAAGATAACAAAGTCCACTTTTAACTGACTCACAGTTTACTAGATGAAATGCATAACTATTTAAAATATCATATAATAATGGAAATTTGTACATTTGTTTGAATAGTTGGTTTTAAGAGCTGTCATAGTTGAAAAAGGTGACTCCTAAAGATACACAAATCCAAAGGAAAGAAATATATCATTGGTTATGCTTGTTAAATCGTATTTTTCAGTACTGTCTACTAATAGTTCAAAGGTTTTTGTTGAAATCAGCTAGTAATTGCCATCTTTCCTGATATCAGTCAGTTGTTCCTTCAAACTAATTTGAAGGTTTGCTTTTTAAAATTTATAGTAAATTGATTAAAAACCTATGCAAATTGTTTGAGAGATTTAAAAACAGATAAAAGGTTTGTCCTCCAAGTTTCTGAAGTGTGCTGATATTACAGAGTGGCACAGCATATTTGAAAAAATGTCCAAATAAAATTTCTGAAAAATACACTGAAATTTAAGTAAATAGGTTTGGCAGCAGAGCGGACACAATTGAAGAACAAATGCATGAAGTAGAAGATAGATTAGAAGAAAATTTTCAGAATGTAGCAAAAGAGATAAAACAATGGAAAATACAGAAGCGTCATTAAAAAACACAGAAGATACAGTGAGAAGGTCTAATGTGACACTTAACTGGAGACTTGGAAAAAGAGAGAATGGAGCAGAGGCAATATTTCAAGAGGCATTAACTGAAAAATTTCCTGAACTAATAAAAGACACCAAATTTAGGAAGCCAAACAAGATTTCTGAGCAGATCAAATAAAAAGAAATCTATCCCTAGACATATAGAGTAAATGTAGAAAATCAAAGACAAATGGAATGCCTTAAAAGCAACCACAGAGTGGGAAAGTCATTAATTAAAGCCATAGTTAGACTGACAGTTGACTTCTCAACAGTAACAATAGAAAGCAGAGGACAGTGGAATGGTATTTTTGGTGTGCTGAAGGAAAACAGCTGTCTACCTAGGAGTTCTATAACCCTTAAAAAAAAAAAATTGCTGTCGAGTCGATTCTGACTCATAGCAACCCTGCAGGACAGAGTAGAACTGCCTGGTAGAATTTCCATGGAGTGGCTGGTGGATTCGAACTGCCGACCTGTTGGTTAGCAGCCAAACCCTTAAACATCTTTCAAGTCTGAGAGTTAAACACAAATGTTTTGAGACAAACTGAAACAGAGAGTTTGTCACTAGCAGACTAATTAATGATAATCGTAAAGGATGTACTTCTAGTGTAGGAAATTGATAATTCTAGATGGAATTTTGAGATGCAAGAAGGAATGAAGAACAAATTAAAATGGTAAATAGCTATATGGGTATATGTAATAAAAATGGTAAATAACTATATGGGTATATGTAAACAAACAATAGTAAAATATGTCTAACAGGGTTAAAAAAAGCCATGACAAAAATAGCATATAAATCAGGAGGAGGGTAAATGGGATTAAATTGTTCTCAGATCCTTGAATTATTCAGGAAGCTAGTAAAATTACTAGTTTAACACTTGATATTCCTAAGTATGATAGAGGAGGTTCCACACGCAGAAGCTTCAGGGTGCTGATAATGTTCTATTTCTTGACCTGAGTGGTACTTATGGGACAGTGAGGGGGAGGCATTGCTTCATATTAGAAGTTAAACATAAGTTAAATGTTTTATGTACTTACCTATATCTGTCTTACATTTTACAGTAAAAAAATTAGGAAAAATAAGGTACAAATTATATACTTTAAAAGGGTAAATAGAAAATACAACAGACTTCATAGTTTTGAAAAAAATATTTAAATTACATTGTTCATCTTAATCCTCTGAACAAAATTTGACTAGTCCCACATTGTTAAAATTATAACCATACAATATCAAGATTTCAAGATTGAAGTATTAATGTGATATGTGATACTTAATTTCTTCATAGGGAAACAAAGGGAATTAAATCTCATTTCACCATGTTACCTTAAATTTGTTGATAAAAACTGATCCAGTTATTCATCTTTTATTTATTTTTATTGTGCTTTAAATGAAAGTTTACAGTTCAAGTTAGTTTCTCATACAAAACTTTATAAACACACTGCCATGTGACCCTAGTTGCGCTCCCCAGACTGTGACAGCACACTCCTCCTTTCCACCCCGAATTTCCCGTGTCCATTCGACCAGCTCCTGTCCCTCTCTGCCTTCTCGTCTTGCCTCCAGACAGGAGCTGTCCATTTAGACTCATGTATCTACTTGAGCTAAGAAGCATACTCTTCACAAGTACCATTTTATGTCTTACATTCCAGTCTAATCTTTGTCTGAAGAGTTGGCTTCGGGCATGGTTTTAGTTTTGGGCTAACAGAGAGTCTGGGGGCCAGGTCTTACGGGGTTCCTCCAGTCTCAGACCATTAAGTGTAGTCTTTTTTCTAGAATTTGAGTTCTGCACCCTACTTTTCTCCTGCTCCATCAGGAACTCTCTGTTTTGTTCCCTGTCAGGGTAGTCATTGGTGGTAGCCGGACACCATCCAATTCTTCTGGTCTCAGGCTGATGGAGTCTCTGGTTTATGTGGCCCCTTTGTCTCTTGGGCTGATATTTTCCTTGTGTCTTCGGTATTCTTTATTCTCCTTTACTCCAGGTGGGTTAGGACCAACTGATGCACCTTAGATGGCCACTTGCTAGCTTTTAAGACCCCAGATGCCACTCACCAAAGTGGGATGCAGAACATTTTCTTAATAAACTTTGTTAGGCCAGTTGACCTAGATGTCCCCTCCAGTTATTGATTTTAATCCTTGCACTCTTCTTTATCTGTTAAATCCATTCTAATCTAGGATGTCTTTTCTGTCTTTTCACATGAAAGCCTCTGTATATATTTGTGGAAATCAGTGAAGAATGGCTAAAGAAATGGACAAATAGCTATAGTGTATTTTTAATTGTGAAAACCTGAAAAGTATTCTTATATTCAGTTGTGAATTTTGAAATACATACTTAGCTGAAATGTGTAAGTTAATACAAACCTCAGACAATAACAGCAGTAAAGTAGTAGGAAGTTGCACAATGTTTGTAGATGTAGGCAAGAGGTATATTTAAAAGTAACAGGATACTTAAAAATTTACTATGATAAATAATATATGTTTGCCTTAAGTATTCTTAAAAATACTTATATTTTCTTTGTTCCAAAAAAATTTAGAACTCTTCTTCTAAAAAGTGTTTTAGAGTGGCCTGAGTTAGAATAAGGGTTTGAGGACATGAGTCGGTGTCTCTTTGCACATGCATTTACAGACCCCCC